GCTGCAGTGCTGTGCTGTGAATTTCAGAAACTGATATTTTCTCATCTTTTTTCTCTTCCATGGTGGTGCCTCAATTTAACACATATCCTCCTAAAAGGCTAAAACTGATTTTTTGTAGGGTAATTTTCAAGAATACCACAGTTTGAACTCTCTTTTAAAAAATGTCACATTTGGTTGTAATAGCGATAATTTTGTCATTTTTTTGTCTTAATTGTTGTGAAAGTCAAGAGTAGCATTTTTGTGTATTTCTCTTGAATGGAAGGATGTAACCATGTAGCCATGTTGGTAATAAAGAGGATTTGAAGATAGTGGCTAGTGTATATTCCGCACATGATAGGTTGTGAGAATTGGGCGGGAAATATGAACCATGCTATTATTCGATACTATCGTCTTCTTAAGTGAATAAATTCTTACCATATGGACCGTTGTCAAAACTCGCACATCTACAACTCTTCCACTTCCTAATGATGTATCTTTGAAAAAAAAATAATAACTGTAGAAAATGTGTGCAAAGGCAAGGAAGAAAGCAATCGTGAAGTCTTTGAAGCAGACCTCTACGAAGTTTTCCGGTTCCAAAGATGCAACCGCCGATTTCTTGGTACTTTCATTAATAATTATTAATTCATTCATAATTTTATTGCTTTTTTTGTTCTTATGTTTTCAGTTTTAAATGTTATTGAGTCTGTAAGAGGTATATGTAGGGGATTAATTTTGTACTTATATTTTTTACCGAGAACACTAGCCGCTAGAGGGTGGCCCTGCAAGGATCCTTCCAAAGACTGGAGATAGAGAGAATAAAGCAACAATTTTGTATATTGGGAGAATCCCTCATGGTTTCTATGAGGATGAAATGGAAGGTTTGGTTTATTTGTCCCGCTTGAGTCCATCTAAACTTTGCATTGTGTTCATTGATTTTTACAGTATTCTTTGTATTGAGCAAAGTCATGATTATACTGATATTAGCTTTTGCAACACCTTTGTTTATATTGATTGATTGGCTTTTGCAGCTTTTTTCAAGCAGTTTGGTACAATTAGGAGACTCAGAATTGCGAGGAATAAGAAGGTTGGTACTTCAAAAAACATTCTGCACCTCCTTTTACTTATTTAATTCTCAACCAAGATTGATACTTCAACCAATATTGATACTAATGTTTCCGTTGGGACTGAATAATATTCCTTATACTTGAGTATGTCAATTAGATTACATGAGGACTGACAAGTAAGTGGAAAGATTGAATTGTATTTGTTAGCTGGGTACTCTGTGCATCGATAATATGGTATAGAGAGGTCCATGCTGGTTTAGATATTGTTTGGCTATAAGATTACAATTTTGTTGGCTTGTTCCTAATTTTTGAGTTTTATACTCTGATGAAAGCACAATCATATTAGGCTGCTTGCTACTTTTTTAGACTTTAACTATTGGAATCAAATCTGAAACGGAATAAAATATAAATCTAACCTATGAGCAGATGTGCCCCTTTTGCACCACTGATGGGCATTCATTTGATTTAGGTTTATTTTGCTTACTTTAGCAGTTTAGCTACATAGATGTTTGGGAATAAATTAATGAACTAATAAATATTATACTTGCATGTCCACCATGGATGATAGTGGATTGTATACTTGTAAGGGGCATGCTCATGAAAGTTGCTCACTTTTGTTGTCCTTTTTGTACGTTCTATACTTGAGCATTTTAGGTTTAGCTACTCTTCATTCTTTGATTGTTTAGAGAATCCCTGAATCAATCATGGTGTTAGATTCTACTGCATAGGCAATAAAATATGAGTCTAGTACTTGTGAGTTCAGTAGAAGATGATATATCCGAAAAGAAATACCTTTTATTGCAGCATATAAGTTTGTAACTTACCCATGTAAGAACAAATGAAAGAAAAGAAAAACCTGTTGTAGGAATAGTATTCACTTTCATAGGAAGCTAATCGAAATAATTCTCAAGGAGGAGGTTCTCAGATGTAAATGTAAATTTAGGATTAGAACTCTCAGAAGTTACTCAATGGTAGCAACCTGCACTACCTTAACATAGATTTGATCCAATGCTATGTGATACCCTTTGGATTCTTTTTTCAGTTTTGCATATCTACTGTGTTAGATTCTATATTTCTAGATTTTGATACTCTTGAGTGCATGGAGAATACAGAACCACTTCTTTAGGTTGTTGAACCTCGCAGCTCCAAATTCATCTAAGCATCATGGAAACAGTAACACACCAAAACTTCAAACTCTGATCCAATGGGAAGTGTAGTAAATTTTAATTATGTAAAATAAAAAAGGTATGTTCAAAATACTGATAATGGCATTTGCTAAAAGTTTCTCTTCTTACATTGTGGAATTGGAAATAGTGAATAAGCAAAGTTATAAGCTTTCTATTGCTTTTCGTTCGTGATATAGAAATGGTGTTTAAGTTTTACTTCAATACTCCCAGAACTTAAATTCCTTGATTTCCTTTCATCTGCATTATATATTTTATTTATTGTTCTATTTTTTGTGCATAATGGAGGCACGTCTCGCCTGTTATTAACTCAGTTTCTTTATTGATTTCTTCAATTTTTTTTCTTGGCAGACTGGGAAATCGAAGCATTTTGGATTCATTGAATTTGAATCTCCTGAGGTTGTTCACTTCTACTTATAAAATAATAACTACAAAACTTTTATCTTTATATTTCTTGAAATGCTTTCTGGTCATATTTGGCACTTGGAAGTTCCTTCACATATTTTGCCTTCTCTCATGCGCACCTTGATTTCTGCAGGTAGCCAAAGTTGTTGAAGAATGCATGCATAATTATCTAATGTATGAGCATCTGCTACAAGTTCAACTTGTTCCTCCTGAACGAGTTCATCCAAAATTGTGAGGACATCTTCAAACAATCATGAAGTTGTATTTTCTTCTACTTGCTTTTTAAATTCAATAAGTGATGCATTTTGGAATGATGCTTCTACATCCCATGTACCCTTTATGAAAGAGTAAATACTTGCATATGGACCATGAGTTGGAAGTGTAGATTGATTGGCACTCAAACCCATTATTCTTGAGAGTTTAGAGAAGTTCTCCTTCGAAAAGAATTTGCTCACAGAACCTTTTTAATAAGTGATGTGATATATTCGAGTTGAGGTACTTATTTTTTGTGATTGGAGGTTCTGTTTGAGGTTATTAGTCATTGTTTATGTTGTTTATTTATGATCAATTATTTTTACACCAAGACCCTTTGTGTTCTCTACCAAATGGGAAAAAGCAAAGATAACAATTGATAAAGGTACGAGTAATTAGTAAATAAATATTGGATCTCTATGGTTCATACTGTGGTTGGGTCATTTCTTCATCTCTTTAGTTCTTTTATAAAAGATGTTTTGGATGTTTGGATTCTTTCCTGAAGCTATATATCTTCTATTGTTCTCGTAGATAACTTTAAACTAAATCATTGTATATCTGAAATTTTCAGATGGAAAGGTGTGACCCGTAGATACAAACCATTGGACTCGGTCCAAATTGAACGCAAGCGGCACAACAAGGTATAAAAGTTACAATCTTCATTCTAACATTTGTTTTTTCCTTTCAATTCATTGGCATCTTGTTAATTCTATGATTTTTAGGAACGGACTCTGGAAGAGCAGCAGAAATTAATAGTTGGAATAATGCAAAGAGACAAAAAGCGCCGAAAGCGGATTGAGGCTGCTGGTATTGATTATGAGTGCCCAGAAATTGTAAGAAGAAAAAAAAAAGAATATTCTTTCATTTTACCCTTCTTTTTGAATTCCTATTATATTGTATGCTTGTGCATGGAAACCTTGTTCCGGTAGAATATTAATTATCTGGAGTTTGATTAATGTGTTCGTGGTCAATCTTTTAAAGGGGTAATCCAAATGAATTATCTGACTTCCTCATAATTTCTTGGAGTTTTTATCAGATTGCATTTGATGTGAAGGTTGATTTGGGTTTTTAACTGAACAATTTGACTTGTGAACCTGTGATTGTGAACAGGTTGGGTGTGTCCAAGCTGCCACAAAGAAGATTAGGTTTGATACAGATTAGACCCTTTCGAAGATTCCATATTTAGAGCTCAACGAAAAGCTACTTTATGAGTTGCTCTTTGGTCGCACGGTGAAATCGTTTCTTGTAGTCTACTATATATAATTGTAGTGTGAGAGATCAACTTAACTTGCTTCTTTGGAAATTTGAGTTTTGTGAAATCGAATAGTGGATATGGCATGTAATGCTATTGGTTTTACTAATATGATTTGGCATTTTTTTTTTTTTTTCATTGTTGAAAAGTGACAGAATTAGCATGTTGTTGACAAAATCTTTTGCTTGTCTTACCAAAACTATAAACAATNGATTAGTACCAGATTTTATATATAATGGTGAATTAACATACTTGTATTCATTTGGGATTCTTAAAGAGTTGATGAGACTTTCAAAATCTCGGTGTATTTCATTTTGATTTTTTAAAACTTTTGACAGTCTTGAATATTCATTTGAAATTTTCAAATGTTTTAACAAATTGCAAGATATTTAACTGACATTAATGTTTACTGACTTTAAGATTTGTTGAGATTTCATAAACAAAAACATTATATGAAATTGCATTTCAAATTCAACCTTCAAATTTAAGATTTTCAACAATTCCTCTTAAATCTTAATTTTAAAAAGTTTCTACATCTCAAAAAGTGTTAAACATATCTATTAAATCTCAAATAAATACTCCCGTCTTAATTCTATTACTTAACAAATACAAAGTTGTAGTCAAGCTGAAATCAACATATTATTTTTGTCTCACAACTTTCGAAGGAATATACATAACTTGGGCGGGCAGATTTTGTTCCTGGTTTATTCAACAGTTAAGAATTAACCTTAATCTTCTCGAAACCAAATTCCTCCACAGTTCCAAAATTTACTTAATACTCCTTTTCTAAACATAATTGCACTTTACAATATTCATTCATATGACACAACCTTCTTAATCATCACATGTTCGGCTTAACTTTTATTAAAACCACTAGAGCAATAAATAAATAAAATATATATCAACGTATATGGATGGAAATGGAAAACCAGAGTCCATTTTTTTCTGCAGGAATCAGGTTTTGAGATACCTAAGATCAAAATGAACTCCTCCAGCAACTAATAGCTTGTCATCACCATATTTATACACAAACCAATTTCCCACAAGAAAAAAAACAAGAATCTTCATACAATCAAATAGAACCCAANCTCAAAGAAGGGTAATGAGAATAAATATAAGCAATGCAGCAACTATGGTGTATTTGAGAGCAGCAAGCAATATCGCTGCCGATATTAGGAATAGCTGCCATAAAACCTGCACACTGGCCCAAGTCAACAGGCCAGTCAATCCAACGGCCACAATGTTATCTGGGTCAGGGTCCAACACAAGATTAACCCACCTCAGGTTCAATCTGGGCCGTCCATTCTCGGCCTTCCCATCTTCCCCACCATTTAGACCATCTTTTGTGTCGATACGGAATTTTCTGAGATTTGCGTGTTGGAATTTCACATGGTTTGCAGGTAGTGTATGGAAATTAACGTTTTGAAGAGGAAAAAATGGAAGAATGGGTTTGGCTTTTGACGGAGAAATCGAGGGTGGGGCTAATGGTGTAGCTCTAAACCCTAACATTTGGTTAGTTAAGAGGAAGATGTAGATATTTTACTCGGATGTACAATGTGTGCTGCATAGGTCAAATATCTGGAGAGTTAAAAAGGAAATATACATTAGCACTGCATAAAATCCAAGTGTTGAAAATAATAATTTGGAGCAATATATGTTTCTTTATGACTGCAAAATTTACATCTAGACCAGTTAACCAACAGCCCATCTGCCTGAATTCATTTTTCTATAACTATATTGAAAGTACTTATTTTGCATTTAAGACCCAATTAACCAACAATCCATCCACCATCAGCATTATTAGTGATGTCATTGTTCAAGTTTAAAACTTGAGCTTTTTTATCAATCGGAAAACTACGTCATGACCCAATGTCCAAAACCTCACAAAGATTAGATCAGATTACCCACTTTTGCAAATTTGAATCCAAGTATCACAACACCACTCCTGTAGAAATTAATAGTTTTGCTAAACTAAGAAACTATCTAATGACAACAAAGTCATGGATCAGCATAGCACATCAATGAGATGAATTGTTCGTAAAAAACAAATATCTGAAAAAAAGAAGAACACTACAACTCAAAGGTTTAGCCCCTTTCTTTCATTCATGCAAAGCTTGCCCTTCAAAAATGTAAACCAATCCATCAAAGAATTGAAGTTGGACTATATGTCTTCTTTCATTTAATATTTCTAAATAAGAATTGGAGTTGGCTACTGGCCATACCCCAAACCCATAATTGGTTTTTGTGAACTCAGACAGTGACTGAAGGTTTGCAACTCCATGTTTGTTGAAGAAGTTAAAATTTAAATTTGTTAACAATATCTTTACATTCTGACACAAACAGCACATATTCACATATACAGTTAAAACTAAAAGTATCTTGGCAAAGCTAATATGCACTTCCTATAAATCAAACACAATAAAACAACACATCAAAACACACTATACATATTACTTGACAGTATGCTGCCTAGAAAACAATGGAAAGAAGAGTCCCTTTTTTTTTTGTTTTNTCCACTTCAGGACTTCGCATCAGAAGTTTTCATTCAAGCACACACTATAAGAACCTTCTCAAATTATTTTCAAATATATTTAGGTGAGTAGATCACATTATTTTCTCGTCGAGTGAAATGAAAAGAATAGAGCCAAGAAAATGGAGTATAAGAAATTACAAATTGTAAATGGCACAAATAATATAACTCATACTTGGATTAGAACTTATTCTTATCAGGTGCTTACGAATACAAGCATCAATAAATGAATTTCCATAAATTATAAACCCTAGATTTCTAATCCAAAGAAGAAGATACAAAGTTACAAACACAAACCTTGGACCGCGAAATAGCCTTTCGCTACCAGAAATAGAAACGCGGCAAAACCTCGGAAAGCACTAGGGCTGCACAATCGGTTAAAACCGAACCGAACCGACCGAAAATTCGGTCGAATTTTCGGTTCGACCAATATTAAAACCGAAAACCGAACCAAAAACTACGGTTCGGTTCGGTTTGACACCAAAAATTTATCGGTTGTTTCGGTTCGGTTATCGGTTATCCGACAAAATGGAGAAATGACAAAAATAAAATTTACAAATAACAATAGATACAGATTGTCTCCAATAAATCAGTATTCAATAAATGCAAAACTCTCAGAAATCATCTGAAATTCAGAATCCTATTCAATTCAAGAGCAAGCCCATCAAAAAATTCAAGTTTTTCATTAGTATTACAGTAGGTCACAGAAGCAGATTGGTTCAACATGTCAGTATGTCACAACAATTTGGAAACCCACAAGCCACAACCGTACAGCTCAAATCATAGGCATAAGAATTAACCCAAAAAAATATGAGCTCAAATTGGGTGGGTGCAACCCGTACAATGAATCACGACTCACAGGCCCAAAGAAGAATGAGAGATTCAAAGCCAGAAAAGAAAATTACGAATCTGAATTGCAGCCCTTACGAGGGGATTTGGGTGGCGAACTCAATTGAGAAGACGAGTGTCACGACGGCCTGCGGGGTGGAGTGTGTGCGGGAGCAAGAACGACCGAGCGAGGCGATGTGAGATTTCAAAATTCCGGCGATTTTATGCGCCGACGCCGAGCAAAGGGAGATGGAGCGGGTGATTTTGTGCACCGTGCGGCGGACGGGCGGAGAAGTGCAGTGCTAGGTGGGGTTTTCTGGAGGATGAGACGATGAGTGACCGTGAGAGACGATTTGTTCCTGGAGGATAATATCTGCTTTGTCGATGGAATTGGACTATTGGAGTAATAAATTGGGCCTGCTTAGTGCTTTGTGGTGAGCGGCCCGTTAACTAATGGCAATTGGATTGAATAATATATACTGGGCCTTTTTTAACTTATATAATATCGGTTTTCGATTCGGTTCGGTTAACCGACGGATTGTAACCAAACCGAACCAAAAACCGAAAAATTGAGAAACTTAAAACCGATAACAGAACCAATTTGTCGGTTTCGGTTTCGGTCGAAACCGAAAATTCGGTTGCGGTCGGTTTCGGTCAGTTATCCAAAAGTTGTGCAGCCCTAGAAAGCACACTCATCCGCTTTTATAAACGATCTAGGAATCTTCAAAATCTTCAAACCCTGCCAGAGTTTGTCTGAAGGTTTAGCCTATAGGCTTCCGATAAGGGAAGGAGCCATAAGCCATTGCGGGCGGCTCTACATTTTTGTGCTGCACCGGTCAGTTTGGATGTAAAAAGTCAAAATTTGTCTGATCGAATTTGTGAATAGAAAAACTAATAAAAGAAATATTACTATTATGATTTTTTCTTTGTATTTTACTAAAAATTATATATATAAAAAAAGATTTATTATATTTTTAACTAAACATACTTTTCAATAACCTCCAAGCACTAAGAAATATATCAAATAGATTTATATATTTTTTCAGGATTGTATTTACTATTTCGTAACCCCAATTTAACCGGCCAATTAATATCAATTGTAATCATTAATGGTCGACTGTCAACAGCAGGTTTGCCCCTCCCCCCT